TTTTCTCTTGTTTACCATGTTTTTTTTTTTTTTGTAATTCCTCTTCTTTACTATTGTGTTCGATAAAAAGAAAATAAATAGAAGGAAAAAAAGAGAAACAAGAAATAAAATAGAAATAAATGTTGTTTGATAAAAAAATTAAAGTGAAAAATATTTTTAAGAGATTATTTGATTTAAAATAATAAATAAAATATTATTATTTTTATTAAAATTATTATTATTTAATTTATAAATAATTAATTATGTGTATATATATATAAACATAATCAATTATATAAATTACACATTCATAATTTTATTTTATTTTTCAATTTCTGTGTACTTATCATTTGATAAGGGAAGTTTTACTTACCAAATAATAACACTTTTTCTACTTTTCTACGCTTTCATTCTCTTCTTATCTCTTTCCTTCTTTTTTTCCTTTACCAACTAATGTTGTGATTCAGTTTTCAAATTTATTATTATTATTATTATTGTTATTATATATAATATTTGTTATGACCTCTTTCTAATTAGACAAGTGATACACTTAATAAGCTTCTAATTTAGGCATTCATAAACATGCACACCAACAACATATTATTGTGTCGAATTATTAAAATAAGTATAAAATTTTGTAAGAGTAATCCACACTTGTATAACACATTAGCTTAAGAATAGCTAAATATTTTAGTTTATCATCCTTTACTCTCTGCTTGGCTTGTTAGGAGATGAGGAAGACAAGAGAATAGAAGAGAAACATGTAACACTATACTTAGGTTGAGTCGGGTAAATTGTGAGAGTTTCTGACCAAAGGTTCAATAGACCTTAAAGAGAGGTAGTATATAAGGTTTCTTTTGAGAATTGTATCTCATAAACTCAACTTCTCAAAGACCTTAGAGAGAAAGTAGAGTGAGAAACTTTGGATTTCTAAACCTTTTTCTTTTAGATTTCTTATAGACATGAGAAGTTTCTTTGATCCTTGGTGTAATGATTCAAGCATTTGAAAGCTAAGAATCGGAATTTGGGTGGTTGCGGAGCTTGTGAAAGCTTAGAGCTCTTCCTTCTCCTCTTCTTCGATTTTAGTTGGCTTAGAGTTAAGGTAAAGGAAACTATGATGAAAGATTTATAGATTTTTTGTATGGAAGGTGAGTGTGATTCTTAGATGTGGCATGAATTGGATGGTCTTAGGATTGGGAGGTTATATTGGTGGGGTTTTGGTGAAGAATAGAGAATGATGTAAAATTAATGATTTTGATCTCCTTTGGAGTTGTAAAATTAGTGATTTTAGTCTCCTTTGGAGTTGCATGTGTTGTTTCTTGATGATTTCGATTCTTATATAATGTGTGTGGATTGTTGGATGTAATGCATGTGTTGAATTCTCTATATTTCAAGTCTTGGAGGCAATTTTCGTGATCTACTATGTGTAGATTTTGATATGACATCAGGCGCGCCTTTGTGGCGCCAAACGTGAAGAGAGAAACTCGTTTCAAGTTGGGATGGCATTGGGCGTGAAAGCATGAGAAAGTCTCTAACTTAGTGAAGTTAGGCTCCAATTGGGTGGTGTCAAGCATGATCAAGGTAGAGGCTTTTTGTCTGGACGATGGCAAGCACTGTTGAGGTGACATTGGACGTGAGTCAAGTAGAGGCTCTCTATCTGATATGAGACCAAGCATGAATTTTGTCACGTTAGGCATGAGGTCCTAGGGGATCTTCACCTTAATCATGTTGGGCACGATTTGAATGATGTTGGGCATTAATAAGGTAGAGAGCTCCCTACTTTAACAACGTTAGACGCAAGGTATGTTGCGTGTAGGTGTGGGATGCCTAAATGATGAGTGTGTTTTTGAATGTTGTATGATGAAAACGAGTAGATGTATGAATTCTATTACATGTTGTATGAAGTATGAAGATTGTAGTTCTATGTTTGTTGATTGAATATGACATATATAGATATTTGTATGGTGTTGGATGATGATGAGCATAAGTATGTTGTATATATGTACGATGTGTTAATCTCTATATGTATTGACTGAATATGATGTATATAGATGATGTATGGTGAGGTGTGGATGTTGAGAATGTAGTATGACATTAAGGCATATTAGTTAACTTAGGACTTGAGGAGAGAAAATTGTTTTTGAAAATTGAATCTTGAAGTGGCGCTCGGGTAGGCCACTATTTGAAAACCCTCCTTGGATAGGTGTGTCTCTTGGAGTGGTTTTTGAGGTGTGTTGATGTCTCCTCTAGGTTTTTAGTTAGTGATTGAGTAAGATAGGGGGTTGGGGCTATAAACTTTAACCAAGTACCTGAAAAGATTTCATGATTCCTTGAGGATAATCAATGAGAAAATTCTATATATGACTTAGTAATGCATGTCAAGGTCGTGGTAAGTCTATATCCAATTATACTATTCCTAACAGTAAAATCAAATTTTCTTAGTGTAAGTGACAAAACCAAGAATCAAATGAGGGATTGTTATCCCATTTTATTGTGATTGAGTCAAGGTTTTGTGTGCAAAAATGATTGGGTTGGTTCTATAGGATGGAGTCACTTAGACTACTCATATTATTAGGAGGTCTCCGTAGATGAACGTGTAATGATGCATTATTTGAAGTGTATGCATATGATGTGTGTTGTGGTGTGTTCAAATGTATTGTTGGATGTTTTGTTTGACATGGTTTGAATGAGCTATATGTTGGTTTTGGAGTGTTTAGCTTTTGAATATGGTTGTGGTATAACTTTGTATGATATAAAATTGTTTCCTATGCTTATATGTTTCCAAACACTAGCTTACCCTTTGTTTCCATGTGATTTGAACTACAATGATTATACATTATATGGGAGCAGACCAAGGCTAGACTGAAGGTGCAATTATTGTTTGGTGGAGGGATCCTTTTGTTGGTGTTGGTGTTACTTCATGTAACTTATATAGGTGTACCAGGGCGACACTAAGTTATATAATTTACCTTTAGAATTGTTGTATATATATGTATATGATTTATATCAATACAATGGTGGCACTTTCATACTTATATTCTATGTATGCAGTGACTGTAACGACCCACCCTAGGTCATCACATCAATAACCAATATAACAACTAAAATAAAATAATATATAATTAAGAAAAGAGAGCAAAGGCCAGCTACACTAGAGTATAAATATAAAATGACGTGTAAATTGTTTTCATCAAATAAAACATAATTTTATAAAAGGGTCATCATCAGCAAGGTTATATAGTCATCCAAAAAGATAATGAATGTACAACATCATGAAAACATCAAAAGGGACACCCTAGGTGCTGGTCAAGCTCTAAGTCTAGCCACTTTTCAAAGCAGCTACCAAAAGACTCCTTACCATCCCAAATAGGGGTGTTCAAAAAAACCAAAAGAACCAAACTGAATTTAAAACCAAACTGAAACCACTTTAAAAAAACCAGAACTAATTATAATAAAATTGAACCAGATTTAATTTTTAAAATAAAACTTAAAAACTGAACCTATTTTTTTAAAAGTTTGGTTCACTAAAAACTGAACCTATTTTTCTTTCGGACTCGGACTCGCAGTCTGACGCTCTCTATATCTCTCGCACTCACTTTGAGTTTCTCTCAAACTCTCGGTTGAGGCTCTCGGCCTCTTGGCTCGCACATAAACCAGTAAAAGCAAATAACATATTTTAAAACCAGTTATAAACTTATTTATTTAAAGTAATTTAGTTTTAAAATAGTTTATTAAAGTGGTTCAGATAATTTATAAACCAGTTTATCTTATTAAAATAGTGTAGTGCAGTTCGGTGTAGTTTTTTTAAAAAACCAAACCATGCACACCCCTAATCCCAAAGCCTCACACCTGATCTGCTCCCCCACATAGTGAGATCATCATAATCCACATCATGGAAATATAAGGGTTAACACGTATAAAACCAACCATAGTACAATAAAATGAAATATCATTAAACTAGATATTCATCAACAGTATGTATCCATACCAAGGGGATGACAACATTATAACAAGTCATTTCCATGCCAAATATAAACAAATCCAATTTCCAATGTATACACATCCATGCCAATGCATACATATTCTATGATAATAAAGAATCCATAACCAATGTATACAATCCATACCAAATGCATACATATTTCACATCCAAATCAAAGTCACACCACTGTATAATCTCATGAAGTAGCCAATACATCCAAACCAAATGTTGACCTCAACACATCCAAACCAAGTGTTGAATTCGTGAACATGTCACCTGTCCATGTCACACACCCAACCTCTCATGGAAAATATACAGTTGGGTTACGTCGTCACGTAACCCTGGTGATCGCGACCACTTCATCCATCAGTATGACTCGGCCTTGCCCCCATACCGATAGTAAATAGAATACTTAGAGGAGTACTTCAGAATCCACCTAACATCTGAAGTGATTTATTATATAATCTTTGGAAAAGTTCCATATTGGAATCCTCACCATGGGACTCCCAAATTCCATATTTTCTCAAAGATTATATCCTGATTTCACCAAGAGATCTCCCAATCCATACCATAACCTTACTCCTCTAAGTCCTATTAGCTTTCCAAACTAAACACACATAGCATATTCCATAATTACATACAAAATTTTTCATAGCCATGCCAAATTACTCAATATAACAACATAAATAATTAAACACTCAAAACAATTATCAATTTAACCAAATCACTCTTTGTGAAATGGCAATCTTCACATAAAATAGCATATCAAGAGTTATACTACTCCTATCATGCTCATCTTTATCTGATATGAAATATAAGAAGATTTCCTACAACTCTTATGAAGACATCAAATCCTAATTTCATCATCTACTTTGTTAAAAATTCTAAAAACCGCAACAGCTAAGCCTCATCCAAAAAGAGGTAAAATTGAGACTTAACAATTTTATTTCCTTTCTTTGACACAAAAGTTAGATGTAGTTTCAAAAGTGTTGATTATGCTATTCTTCAATCAAATTGAAATTAATTTCTTCGTGTATGCGACACGTATTGCTATATAATAATAAATTTTATCAGAACAATATCATTAGATCTGAGTTTTGTTTGTTTGTTTATTATAGTATTTCAAGAATAATTATTGAGAATTAAATAACTTTTTGAACAAATTAAATTTTATTAATCTAATAATTGAATAATTTGATAGAAACCTTAATAACATGGATCAACATCATGTTGAAAAAGATTAATAGAAATTTTATTGTCAAATTTTATTTTTTTAAAGTAATATTATATGTTAAATTAAATTTATTTAATAATGTATCAAATAATTTTAAAGTATTATAAAAATTTAAATAATATTTTTAAGTTTAAATATATTTTTAATTCTTAAAAAATATGCAAATTTTAATTATGATTCTTGTAAATTTTTTCTTTATTTTTTTTCTCTATAACAATTGAAATATAATTTTCGATCTTTATCATTATATAATCTTTTTTAACTACTTATGTATCTATTATAATAAAAAGTGAATATTCTAGAAGGTACGCATAACTATTCATACACTATGACATCTATTATAAAATGAATGTTAGGGATCAAAAAATATAATTTTTAAGAGTGTAAAACAAAGAAAAAAAAACATATTTAAACTATTGTAGAAAAACAACAATTACAGATAAATATTAGTTCATTTACAAGAATAAAAAAATATGTTTATAAATTTTTGAAGAACATAAAATAAAGAATTTTTTTTTATAAGAATTAAAACTAAAATTCACCCATTTTACATATACTATATTGTTGCCATCTTAGAAAAAACTACAACAAACACAATAAAAATTAACCTTAAATACTCATGTAACTACCATAATTCTCAACTAAATAAAAAATGTAAACCTGATAGATACATTATAATAATTTTTTTTATTCATACCCGATAAGAACTTTTAATATGACATTGGAATTAATAAAATTTAATTTACATAAATAGGTAGAATAACTTCATTCTCTTGATCCAACATTCATATATTTGCATATATATGTGGATACATATATCTGGGTATATGACATGATTTACGTAGTAGTGTTTTAATGCATATATGTTATACTTGCATACATCATAACATATTTTATAACAAAAATCTTATATAGTTTTTTTATTCTGTCTTTTTTATTTTATAATTTAGTTAATAATTATAATTATAATTATATATAATTTAATATATAACTTATCTTTTTTAATATAATAAAAAAATATTTTCATTTGCTTTCTTCCTGCTCAAAAGATTCTTCAGGTACAAAGATGACGCGTATGATCGGGTATGGAGGTTTGACTCAAAATACAATGAGAATGGATGGTATGACCTATATTACAATGATGTTGACATTGGAACCAACAATGGTGCTTATAAATTGCCAGCCCAAGTTTTGAGGAGTGCAGCACGATCATGGAATGTTTCCTATTCCTTGGAATTTAACTATAACGATGAGTTTTTAGACCTCGACTGGCCTTATCAGTATTATGTCTGCTTCCACTTTGCTGAAATGGAGCAACTTCCACATGGCAAAAAAAGAATAATCAATATCACCCTAAACTCCAAAACCTCACAACCTTTGGTTCTTGAATACTTGAAGCCCGTTACTCTTGAATACGTAACTCAAGGTGATGTGCGGTTTACCATTAGTGCAACGCCACAATCCGACGCTCCTCCTATCCTCAATGCCTACGAGATCTATAAGGTCATAACACAACTTGATTCACCAACTCAAGCTACAGATGGTATGTTATAGACTTATAGTAGTATTTTTTTAAAGATGAATGATATGTTAAAGTCTGTTTACTTACGAGTTAAAAGTACTTTTGAGAGTTTTTTTTACTGAAAATAAAAAGTATCTTTCTATAAAAAAAAAAATACTCAAAAACTTTTTTAAGTTTATAACCAAAGTACCAAGCAGACTCTTAATCACATTATGGTAAAAAGTACAAAGAGACTTGAATGAATGAACCGGAAATTTCAAGGACTTATTTAAGATTTTCTTAGTTTCAAACACCTGTTTAAGCAATGCTTGACACTTCCAAGACCAACAGGTGATTTAGCCTGTAGGAATATGAATTCTTTGTTGTAACTACATGTATGTTACTTGCACTACGTTTAGTTGGAGCTATTCAGGATATCAAAAACGCGTATCAGATCACTAGATTGAATTGGCAAGGAGACCCATGTCTTCCAAAGCAATATGCGTGGGAGGGTCTCATTTGCAGCTCTGACACTAATCCAAGGATCATATCTTTGTGAGTATTTACTAATAAGATTAAATACTTAAGGTCTGTTTGAATATAAATTAAAAATATTTTTGAAAGTTTTTTTATTAAAAAAAAACTATTTATTTTTTATAGATAAACTCTTAAAAATTCTTATAGACTTATATTTAAACAGATACATATTTCTACTTTTGAATAATATTTCTTGCTGAATTACCACAACATATGTAAAGTCAATCGCAAATGATGGGCAGGAACCTGAGCTCAAGCAAACTGACAGGGGAGATAAATACTTCATTCTCATATCTTACAGAACTAGAATTCCTGTGAGTAGTAGTGATTATTTTGTTGCTGATTCATTTTGTGTTCAAGTAGTATATACATACTTTTAAGAATTTAATTTGAATACACCAATTATGTATCCAATTATATATGTCAATTTATCATGTTTGGGAAGGATGATGAATGTTAACTTTTATAATAATTACTTTAAACATTATAAAAATTATGACTAGTTAGAAATCTTTATACTGACTGTGTATAAATATTAAACTTTTTAAGCATTGACTAATTAGAAGCCTCGCATACAATACTTATGCCAACTTTCTAGAGAAGCTTACATGACAGCTCCTAATTTCTGTGAATTTCGCCAACAAAGTGTTACTATGTTCCAGGAATTTGTCACACAACGAGTTGGAAGGACCTCTGCCTGAATTTCTGGCAGAATTGCCAAAGTTAAAAGTTCTGTAAGTTTGAATCTTTCTTAGAACTACTAAATTGATAATTAATTTTCCCAGCCAGACACTTGGATAACATATAATTTATGATTTATTGTCTTTGCAGTACTCTGACAGGGAACAAGCTTTCTGGTCCAATTCCTAAGGCTCTCAAGGATAAGGCAGATAAAGCTTTGCAATTAAGGTTTGTAGAATAATATTTTATATTCTCTGGTTCAATTGTTGTCCAATGTCCACCTCTTGTTTCATTTGATTGACCCCCTTAACATGAATTGTGAATTATTGACCAATATAAACAACAAAGCTGTAAAATATGACCATAAGGCAATTGTGTTCTGTATCCCGTTATTGCTCGAATCAATTACTTGAAGTGATGAAACCAGTTGCTACTCCATTGTTATGCAACATTCCTTTCCAACATCCATGATGTTTGAACTAGACAGATTGAAAAAAATAAGTATATATAACTTCTACTTCTTTGCCTATCTGTCTGAGCTTTAAGTAAAAACTACAGTCTATATTGGTAGTGATTTCTAGACCAATTAGTATATGATGCAAAAATCATGATTCCTCAATGATATGATAGCTAATATTGTGACTTTGACTTCTTTCAGTGTGGCTGACAATCTTGATCTTTGTATGACGGGTTCTTGCAAAAAGAAGAACTTTGTTGTACCACTCATTGCATCACTTGCAGCTTTAAGTGTAACCCTCTCGATTTCCCTTGGATTTTGGATATTTAGAAGATTTAAAGGTACGTCATAGTATCATCTTCCCAGTTGCTGAATGGGCATTACTTGGAAATTGAAAGTTGTATTACGGTTTGTGCTTATATCACAGTGTAAAACTTTTGTTGCTTTTCTTCTGCCAAATAAATAATTTCTATAAACTCAGTGGAAAGTTAATAAAACAAAATTTAATTTTTTATTTTTTTAAACAAATGCGTAATAAGAGACAACAACGAATCTAAAATTCCATGCAATGCTGGAATTAAGTCTGAACACAACATTAGTTAGAGACCATTATTGCCACCATGATAGTCGATGGATCAAAGCATTAATAGAAAAAAAAAAAGCGTATTTGAGTTCTGAATCAATATTGAAGAGAAAATTATTGGATACAAGCAAAGTTCTATATCAATCAAATAATAGGAAGGACATGAGTTTATATACACACAATTGTCTTCATTAGTAACATTTTAAATTATGTCCAAAAGTAAACAATATTTCTCAATTGTGGAGACATGTGGTTACCTCCGATATACAATAAGTAGTATTAGAATTATTAGTTCAACCAAACAAAACCAAAATCGTAAATGTGTAGATCCAAAATCGATAATATCTTATTATTGTGAAAACATGTGTGAGGGGCACAACAAAAATGTTCTTGCTCACATTATATATATATATATATATATATATATATTTTATAATATAA